GGAAGTTGGAGATCGAAACAAGTTGGCTGAGATGACACCCCTTGAATTCCGCCTCATGCTTGTTGGCCGCCCAAAAGAAGAGGCTCAGGCACTGCGCCTCAGGAGGAGTAAGATGCTGAAGTGGCACTCTAACAAAAATACCTGATTGACAAACGTCGTTGCTACAAGCAGTTACAACAACAGGTGCAGGAGTTAGCCCTGTGTGAAGGAATTTTCTTATTTGTCCACTGTAAGTGACTGACAGAGTGAAAAGTCAGTGTGAGGCCCTAGGTCACAGTGCCACAAACACTGTGTTAAATCTTACACGAGGAGACACTCAGGCAAGTCCTCCAGACACAGCTGTGGTTTCTGCTGATATTGCTGGTGCCACAATTGATAACAGAGGACCTTGGATGGTCAGTAACAAACAGCTTGGTGTTCAGAGATCAGCACCCGGGTTTGTGTAAATCATGTTTCCTTGTTCATGGTTAATGGACCGATATTGTATTCACACATCTCTCCTTTTAGATATTTGACCAAATATGGCGTGTATGCTACTTACAGTAAACTTTCAAAGTGCATAAATGCTGACCAAAGGCATTCCCACTTGAGAATTGAGGTGACATCATGCACAGAAGTCTGTATTGATGATTTCTCCTTTCTCCTTGATCAGGAGAAACATCCTACTGACGTCTGAGAGGGACTGGCATGACTGGCCTACGTCCCGGCCCTCAGCCACAGTGAACTGTGGATTATGCTATATACCAACCACCATGCACTATATATCACCATGGACTACATCATCTCACGGATTTTCACAATTCTCGCACAAACAGCATACTACACTATAACTATAGATTAGTGTTCTCTTAAAGAGCACAGAGCACATATGTCTGTAGAGCACATAAAGAGCACTATGTTTGAATTAAGAATATACACAACACACATTACATACAGTATGTCTTGGACTTGCACTGGTTATTAAGTTTATATTAACTTCGTATCCAGAATAACCGTTTGATGTGATATGTACTAGGGTTGTTATGATACTAGAATTTCAAACTCCATACCAATACCCAGGAAAATACTCGATACTCAATACCATTTGCGATACCACAGGGAAAATGACCCTAACCCTATTTTAAATAAAGATAAGAACAATACAAACAATAACATCAATGACAACACTATTTTTAGGTTGTCTGAGGTAGTGCAAAAAAGCAACAACAGTAACCTTACTTTAAGTTGTATAAATATGACATGCAAATGTATTCAGCTACAGCCCTGTTTATTTGCTGTGCTTCTGGTGACATTGCACCATATTTTCGTTGCAGTTCAAATGGAGTTGGTAAGTTAGGCTGCCCCTGTTTCTGTCTAGTTGCTGGTTGACTTTTCTCAGCTTCAATCTGGGACTTGATAATAAATATAACACTTTTCAGAAACAAAAAATTGTGTTATGCTGTTAAATTAACACTGTCTATTAACGTTACAGACAGGCAGGACTGATAACGTTTGCTGCCTAGCTCCCACATTAACGTTAATGGTTTTATTATTAGCCATAGCCGCTAGCTGCTAGCTTAATGATAACTTAACAGACGGCTAATGTAGCTATCGGCTAATTGCTAATAGTTAAACAGCTAACATTAACATGTGCTGCCGGCCAGGTGAAATAATAAAGCAAAATAATTCCAAACGGTAAAACGGCAAAATTCAATTTCAGCTAAAACAGGTTGCGAAGGTCCCTTAAGCAGCAGCACTTGCCATGTTAATTTAGTTTTATGCTAGTGGCACCAGCCAGCTCAGTGCTGTGAACGTCAACTAGCATTCATGTGTTCAGACGCAAGTGAGGGGAGGGGCTGTGTGCCTGCTCGTCTGCAGTGGTGCTGTATGAAGTTGTGTCAACTGGAGGAGGCAAAGATGGCACTCTTGGTATCGATACTGTTGCAAATGAGTATCTAATCCGATACTAATTTTTAGTATTGATTAGTATCTGAGTATTGATTTTTTTGACAACCCTAATATGTATATTAGGTCAGATCCCGTGGTTAATGACAGTTTCAATGACAATTTCAATTATCCAAGCTTGCTAAATATGTTTAACCAGAAACCAGCCCACTACATAATCACTTAATGTGAATGTTTGCAACAACAATGTCTTAAGTGGTTAATACAGGCTCCATTTGCAGCTCCCTATAAGCATATGTTTGAACTTGTTATTAGAGTATAGTACCCTGTCTTGACAATTGCCATTGTCACAGGTCAGCTATCTGTTGTCACCTAGTAATAGCCCGAATGGATAATGTGTAAGAATATGTGACTAGTTAGTCCAAAAGGGGGGGAAGTGTTGTAGTAAACTTTCATTAATATATATACAGTATATACATATATACATATATGACTTCAATGGGGAAGCATAGAGTGGGTTGTTCCACTGCAGCGAAACTAGACGGTCATTGGATAAATGCTGGGCTTTGTCCTGCCCATCGGACGCTCAGCGTCTCTGGGGGTCTATGGGGCAGTG